TTCGTTTAATATTTTTCCAGGTGCTGAGCAGAAAAAATTGCCAAACAAATGCCAATACAAATTTAACAAAAAAACGTTGCTATTTAATAGAATTTTTAATGATCTGCACAGGTGGAAATTCATGAATGAATTATAGGTCTCTCGTTTTTTACTTAATAATTGTATCGCCAGGATTGGATTAAGAGTATCTAATTTGCATTTCAATACAATTATGCAACCGATGTATCTCCTCACTAAATTGTTTGTTTTTTATTTTTTACAAATAAAAACAGTCTATCAACTTTAAATATTTAAAGATAAATGGTAAATTTGCTTACAATAAAAACATAGAATATAATTTATTATGCACGCGATGTGCTCAGGGGAAAATTTTATGTCGTTAACAAATTGCAAATTGTATTTAATTTAAACAGCATACTTTTGGGCTTCAGGTGATGCAAAAAAAATTACAATTTAATTTGAAATCGTTTTTTATCCCGAAGTCTATTAACTTTCGCTACAGTGGTAGTGTATAAATACTCAGAGTTCCTGAACGGCTCACTGGCATTTCGAAAATCATAAATATTTAAAGGGAAATAACTGAAAATGAGCGACCAGCCGACGGATGGAACAACTGCCGCTGGCATTTCATTGAGCCAAGTTGTGGGAATGCTCACAAAAGAGCCATTAGCAGGGAATTGGCAGACACATACAGTCGCCGCCATACATATATGGTAGGAAGCTGCTTAGTCAGGGAATCCCTTCGCCATCGTACGTACATATATGTGTCAGAATGCTCAGCATTTTTCAATGGTCCCCGCAGCATCTGGCGGCTGTTATTAGAACTAAAGAATGGGCGTGGCAGGCCGAGGAGGATACTCATATTTATAGGGGGCACCGCCGATTCCTCATGGCTGACTTTTGGCTCGGTGTCATTTGCGCTCCTCGGCCATTATCACGTACTATCCCAGAAGCCAAAAGAAATGTGTATTTATGTACACAAGAGCCCGCGGCCTGTTGACGGAATTGGCTTCATTGTGGTAATGTTTTTGCCTCAAGCCGGCGCAAAATAAAAGGAAAAACTAAGTAGTTCATTTTAAGATGAAGCCTCTTTTGTTATAAATTTTAAGTATGGCTAAGTAAAAAAGCAAGCTTCAAAATGTGGCGAAACAAAGGACTAAATATGCTGCCAAAGAAAAATGCCTAAAATGAAAGGCGGGGGCGACAAAGGCTGGTAAATGCAGGAAAATGGGGGCGAATAAGCTGGAGCTGGATAAGCAGAGCAGAACGTTGGCTGCGTCTTGACACAAATAGGTTTCCGCCCTAAATCCCAAATATCCCCGGAAGCCGATTAAGTGTTGCCCGTAAGCGCGCGCAACAGCATGAAAGCGCCAGAGACTGCAAATTGTCCTCATATAAGGATCGGGGGAAGGGAAGGGGGAGCGGAGAACGGTGGGAGCCAGGACAACGGAGGACTAGGAAAAGCATCGGCGAAGACATCAGACCCTGCTTGGAAAATAATGGCAATACACGCTATTTTGGCAGTTGTTATGGCTTAGCGAGGGTTGCTAGGCAAGTTATTCTCTCAACTTCAGAACCTTCCATTGTTTTATTATTTAATACAAAAATTCTTGATGTGATGAAAAGAATGTAATTTTATCCGCTTTATTGAAAATTATTGTTGAATTTATATTTATGTAATAATATTTTTTAAATGGCTAAACATCCCCACATTTTTAGAAAATCAGAATTATTATCGCACACTTTATTTATACTTCAGTCTTGTATTTTTGGTCATCCCAACATCTCGTTTGAAAACTTATTAACCCACCCTTGCCAGCTGCCATAAGGCGCAGCCGGCATGTAAACACTGCAAGACACATTACAATAAAAAATTTATCGTTATTATCCTTTTCCAAAGTGCTTTTCAATTGAGGTATGGACAGAACGGCAGGCTGACTAACTGACTCAATGACACGCTGACTGACGGTCACATCCTTACTTTTGCGTCCTTTCCGCTCCTTGATGGTGCTCCATGTGTGTGGGAAAAATCGAAGGATGATTGATGGAGTTTCAGGCTGTGCTGACAGCAAACGACTTCATCGAAAACGCCAAAAATATTCCGAAATATCGCCGCGGTTTAATACGCAGCGTATGCGTAATGTTATGCTCTAACAATTACCTAGGATGTCGGGCCCAAAGTGTTGATTTCCCAGATCATATTTGCTTAGATTTCGCCAGGCAATTTGCATACGAATGTGCCCCCCGAGAAAAGCAAAGCGAGGCAAAAAATAAGAGGAGGCTTACACGCTTAAGCTCGAAGCGACAACTCCATTTATATTATTTCGTTTCCCCTTTGGAAATTAATATGTCATTTTTGCCACCTACACAGCCACATACACACACACCCACACTCACAGACCGTAGATGAGAAGAGTGAAGGACACGTTAGAAAGGAGATCCAAGGAGTTTTTTCCCCCGTCGAACAAGCTGTGGGAAAATGGAAAAAAAGGCGAAAAATAAACCTGAAATGGGCCAGAGTGGTTGCCAGCGGGTGAAGAGTGGAATAAAAATGCAAATAAAATAAAATAAAAATGTGTCTGTCATGTCAATATTTGCCGCCAGCAGATGAACTCAATTTGCAATTGGCATTGAGTGTGCGAGTGTGCCAAGGTGTAGATGTGTCCGGAAAACTGCCACCCACTTTAATGGCAAATCATGGGAAAATTGATTGACATTTTCATTACACAATTTGCCAGACAAAGCAAACCGAACGATAATGGAGCGGGTCGCCTCAGCAGCTTCTCAATTCAGGTGCTGTTTGCCACTGGCAAATAAATTGCACATTATGCACGGCAAATAATTAATGCCAATCATTAAAATAATAAAGTGCATATGAGCGGCGCATGCAGTGTGCCTTAAGTAAGCCTGTTTTAATTGCGATTGAATAATTGAAGATATCTTGCTTGATGTTGGCTACCCGATGGTTAATTATTGAGCATCAATAATGCAAAAATGAGCTGGTCAAACAGTGGGCAATAATTCAACTGGATTGGATGGTCCTTAACCGGCTCAAGTATGTGATGGAATCTCTTCGGCTTACCGGCCCAGGAGAGCTATTAATTTACATGATTATGTTGACCCCAGATAAACACTAAGGTCGGTAAGCGAAAAGGATAAAGGTCGTACTTCGTAAGTTGACATTTCTTGTAAAATTCAAACCACTGAAGACATCAGACGATTGCCCTTTGCAGATACAACGGGGAGCTCCCAGCGTTCTGAACATTAAATTAATTGAGCAATTAATTAACACGCCATTGAAGAGGCGGAGGGCCTCCATTTGATGGCGGGAAAAGGCTCAGATTGCCTTGGCTACAAACAAAGAAAGCCATCGAAGGCAGCTGGCGATGAAAATGGCAATCGGGGTGGGAGGTTATTAAAGCTTCGCGGAGCACGTGAAATTATGAAGTTAAAAAATTAATTCAGCGGCAAGTCGAAAACTTTGAACTTTCAATTATGTGGAAAACGAACAGCGGCAAAGAGATGGGTAAATGAAAATGAAAATGAGATTTCTGCCTCGCCCTGGCTGCCGTATTTTCCAATTTGTGTGCTCGAGTGCCGCCGTCAGCTACACTCGAGTAATCAATGATGGGCGGACATCCCAGACGCCACCAATCCAAAGCGGAATGCCAGAAAAATAATGGCAAATGTGGCTCCTTCGAATGTCCTGCTGACTGATGCTTTGAAATGTTATCGATTGCTGACGGTTATCTAATTGTAAGTATACACGTCTCGGGCGCCATTCTGTTCCTTGGTCAAATGGAAGCCCAATTGCTGAATCAGTGGCGGATCAGTATCTAGTCGTGAAGGGTTGGCTTTTAAAATAATTAAATTAATTTTTATATAAATAATTTTTTTGAAATACATCTGAAAATAATAACAAAATTGAGATTGGGCCTTAAAATTTCTCTGTGAATACGCCACTGCTCTGAGTGATTTGTGAGGATAGTGGTCTTCGGCCACTGAGCATCGAGCGGATAAATCGAGTCTGAACATTGGCATCGATGCAATCCAATGGAGGACGACAGTCACGGAACCGGACGACATGTGGATCCAGTTAGTGTTGTTCCAGCCACGCCCCATACTGGCTGACCTACATATGCATATGTAACACCTAATAGCATAAGTCGCCCTGTGTATGTGCGTTTTCGTTTTTTTACTGCCAGTCACCTACACTGATGCAAATAATTTCGGATTTCCCAAATATTCTTCTGGGAAACGTTTGAAGGGTATTTATTTATGCATGTTTTGTTATCCATTTAAGTTGCTCAATTTCGTATTTGCCCAATTTAGCAAGACTTACACGTTATTTCTAGGTAAACAAAATCAGAACTTATCTTTAAGTAGCTCCAAATTAAACCAGGCCAGGGACAGCCGTCGAATTTGTTTGAAGTGCATTTGGAAGCCACTCTTTCCATTCGCTTCCTTGGCACTTTGTTCGGTTGTTAAGTTGAATTTTCGTGTTAAGCGGATGCTGGATACCGCCCACCCGCTGCTGCACGTGTGGCACACAACCACCCACACCTCACACACTCAGCCTGGTCCACACATGCATTTCCGGTTTAATTGATTTTACCACAAAATGTGAAATGTGTCGAAAACGAGTCCCCATGACTTCTCCCTTGACATTCCGTCTCTCACTGGGGTTTCCTCCAATAATGTCCAGGGTGAAGGGCTCCGAAGTCCTTTCTTTTTGAGGTCTTTGATTGCAGATACTTGGTAAATAAATATTGGCAAAACCAATGACTGATTGAAAGGACCACAGGACCACTTGGCACCAACTTCGACAATGCTGCAACTTTGCCTGCCGCTCGTCCGTCGGTCCTTCAGTCCGTCCGGAATTCCGAGCAGTTTGCTCACCGACTCAACGATTGCAATCAGAGCAATCACAGGGCCCTCTCTTATGTGAATAAATCACAATTACCGAAGGCAAAGCTTTCTGCAATAATTTCTGAGGTAAATCTCGGCAAAGTTTTTCTATCAATTTATTCAAACTTTTCGTATTTTGTTCACAATCTTACAACATAAATATAATGCTCTGATGTCGTTTTGTGGGCGAATGGGTATAAAGGTGATGTGACGTGGGAAGTTTTATTCTACAAGGCACAACAATTTCCATACTTAGACATAGTGGAATCCGGAACCTTTTGCCAGGGAAGCACGGCTATCACTAAGTACTGACTACTGGCTAAGATAACGTAAGTCTACCCTTAAAACATAGTAAAATCATAAGAAATGGGCACAGAAAACAATATGATTTTGGAGTTAATATTTACATTTAAAAGATTCAAATATGTTTGTATCCAGTTCGAACAGAATTCTAAATTTGAAACTCAAGTGTAAATAAGTTTATATGAAATAAAATTGCATCTCCAATCTATCATCACATTCTTTTCTGTATCGGATAAACCCTGAAGGAGACTAACCCTTCTTGAACTTGAGCAGCAGGATGGTGAGAACAAGGAAAACTAAAACCCAGGAGGAAATCGAAATGAAACCATGGTAGACAACGGGGTTATCCATTCCCCAGCCGCGCTGCAGGATGGATCGCATTGATTCCGTTGGCTTGGTGAGTGGCAGGAAGGCCGTGAAGAACTGCAAGAGCGGGAACATGCCCTCGATCGGCCAGATGATGCCGCACAACATAACGATGGGCAGGAAGGATCCCATGGCCACATAGGTCGCAGTTCTCTCGGTGTCCACGGCACAGGAAATCACGAATCCAAAGCTCATGCCGCACAGTCCATTCAAAATACATAGGGCTACCACCAGCCAGATATTTCCCACCAAAGTAAGTTCGAAGAAGTAGAAGCTGACGATCAAGACGAAGATCGTCTGACTGAGCATCACTGTGAACTGGGTGACCACCTGGGAGAGCAGGATCTCCGGACCCGTGATCCCCGCCACCAGACACCGCTCCAACATTCCCTCATTCCGGTCGATCAACATGGCTCCTGAGGTAACAGCCACGGCCAAAAAGAAGATGATGGTCAGGATAACACCAGGGGCAGCAAAGTCCGTGAAGTTGGGATTGCGATAGCCGTAGATGGGATGCTGAAAGTCCACAGGAACGCGTCCCAGCTTCGGATTCAGATCACAGTCAAACAACATATCGCCCACAAAGTTGAAGAAGGTGTACTGAAGATCGCGGTAGAGCAGCTGTGAGATTTGTTGGTCTAGAATAAATAATAATGATATTAAAATGCCTAAACAAGGAATGCAAAATATATGCTTACTGGACCAGTCCATTCGCACTGCCAGATCGGAGGATTCGATGGTGCCATCTTCTGCATAACGACCATCCTCTACTCGTTCCATCAGAGATGCCGTGTAGTTGGGTTGGATGACCAGAGCAGCCCAAGCTCGGCCTTTCCTCACCTCTTCGTATGCAGTTTCATCGTCGTTTACATATTTCTTTAAATATAGCACAAAAAACCAATCATTAATCATTTTATAACATCAGTCTTTCTTAAATGCATGAATTGAAAGCTACAAAATATTCCCCAATGGTCAAGTATTAAATTACAAGTTGTTTAGCTTCGTATTTCACTGAAAAATTTCCAGACAAGTTTCCTAGTATTCCCTGTTCACGAAGTTAGAGACAATAAATGTCAGCAGTCAATCAAATGCTCAATCAATTAGCCTAAAAAGTCAATGCACCTGCCAGACAGATTCCGAATGTCTGGGTATTGTTTTCGCCGTTGCCGTGCAATTAAAATCGAAGCCGCTGAATTATTGAGCAACGCATGTCGCGATTCAGGACTCGCCGGTAGAGAGGACGCGGGCTGCCTGCCGACGGCACTTCCTTTCTTGGCAGCTTTGTGAGCTGTCTCTTTGTGCGTCCCGCTTCATTTCCTGTCGCATTGTTTGCTGCATGTGGGGCGTTCTGCTGTGGCAACAATAAAAGTAACTCCCCGTAATTAATGTGCGTACTTTGTGCCAGGCGATAAATTCAGCGAGGCAAACAAATCAACAACAAAGGAGAGGCGTTGCGTTCGTTGCGTTGCGTTCCGTTGCCTACTTTTTGCGGACCCTGTTTTTGTTGTCAACAATATGTTTGTGTTATCTGTAACAATTTCATTTCGCCGCGAAATAAATAATGAACTGGCAGCAGCAACAGCAACAACAGCCGCAGAAGCAGCCAGAAAGTGGAGCAGATCCAGGAATCTTGAGCTAGTTCCGGCAAGTGCTCACACATTTATTAAGTTGAATGCGAACTGGAGGGGCGTAAAACTTTGCCTAAACTTTTCGGCAGTCACTTATGTAGTACGGCAACCGCAGGAATCACAGCCGAGGGAAAGGCCCGGCCACAAAACCGAGGCTGCGTGTATTGGCATTTGTATTTGGGCTTAGTTCGGGCAATTTTGCGGCTTCGATCTGCAGTTATTTAAACGGTAGTGCCATAAGGACAGGCGCCTCCAAACAGGCGTGAAATTTACGCAATTGCCGCCTTAATGCCACACACACATTCCCGGATTCGGAGTTTGTGGTTTAATTGGCCTCATTAGATTTGATGGCCCAGAAAGGGATGTCTGTTTGTCTGTGCAAGTGTTCGAGTGTGTGCTTGTGCCAAAACTATGTTGCACAGATTGGATTTGAAGCCTTGGGAGAACACCTGGGGCAGAGATTCGGGCAAGTTTTACACTAGAGACTTGGAATAAATTATAATGTAAAGAGCCATTGCTGAAGACAATCAAATTGCAGGTTCTGAACAACTTTCATGCTACTATTTAACCCCAACTTCAACATTGTTTATGACAAACTTGAGCCACAAACTATGCGCAAATGAAGTCAACTTGGTCAGAAGCTCGACGCAAATGAGCTCGAAAGGAGCTGGTAGAAAAACTTTCCTCAGCTACCTTGGCAATTTTTGTTTCGACTTTACCTTAACTTGCCCCATAAAATCTCTTTGGATGGAGGAGAAAAGGTAAGCTAAGGAAGCTCTTCAAGCACTTTCTTTAAGTAAAAGCTTGTCGCTAATCAAGTACCAACAGGAGCGTAGTCAAAGGGGGATTGCGTAGCCATAGAAAATTGCAGAAGGGTCTTTTTCAATCTTCTATAAGATAACAATCTAATTTCTGAGAAGTGTTTAGCCTTTCAGAGCTCTTTGGTGTTTTCGCAACAGCATAAAGCATGAAATTTGCCAACCACGCCCTTCCACTAATGAGCCGCACTGTCATGCCTAATGAACTTTTAATTAGAGGCAACGACAACAGCCAACGACATCGGCTGACCACAATATGTTTTCAATTTTCCCATAAATTAAGAGCCCTTTTTTCGGGCTCCTAGCCGGAAGCAAAGTTTGTAAAATTATTAGTGCAACCATTCAGGGAACTGCCTCTAGGAAATTCGGGGAGTTTGGAAAGTGTGGCTCGCAGCACAAAGGAACATTTTTGTGTTGTTAAGACGAGGGTATCCGAAATGTTTTTGATCTGGCCGGAAAACAAGGAACATTATTAGTAAGCACGTAACCACAAGGAAAAAAGTAAAAAAAAAATACGAGAAGGAAGAGAAAATTATACAATGAGAAAACGAAAAAAAAATCTATAGAAATGATGATTGATTGGTACGATATTATTGACTAGCATAAAAAGTTGAAGCAATAAGGTTTAATAAACAGTTGGCTTTGTGTAAGACTTTTCTTTGCTTACAATTAATGTTTCTTACAAATATTATATATTCTTTAAAATTGCTGAACTTATCTTCCATCTTTCTATTTATTTTTTAAGTGAAGGTTAACATGTGAATAAAAATTTTTTTTGTAGTTCTTTAAAAGTCAGCATACCCAACTTCATTTTCTTACGCAGATGGGAAAAAGTATTAAAAAAACACAAAACGCTTTTCCGTCGATACCCCGACAAAATTCAAATTTTGCTGACCCTCCCCCGAGGTTCGCCTTAAGCTACATCCTTGCCAGGATATTCGGGAAGGTGAAACGGGACCGCCCGCTTTGGCCAAGTGCTGATGGCACGTTGATACGCTGTTCATTGACCAAAATTAACTTGTCTCCTCTGCTTCCTTTCATTCCGGGTCTTTGATGCGGCCTAAAGATACACGACCGCGTATTATTTTTCTACCGCTTTTATTTTCTTATTTTTATCCGAAGTTATACAAATTTAGTCTGATAGCCGGCGGTTGGGGTGGGGGATGCTTTTCAATTTCCAAAGGTAAAAAGTTTTCTTCGCAAATTGCCAGTTGAGGCATGCGGACCGTTGCTGGCCTTATTATTGCGGTCTTTATTATATTGTTATTTGGAAATTTCGAAAAGTTTAGGAGGTCACGGTCTGTTGGCGGGATAATTTGATGGGACATTGAGATCCCGATGCTGATTCTGCTTTATTGTCTTTCAGCGGAACGGAATTGATTGTCGAAACGGATTCGCCGAAACGGCTGATTAGTATACCTCCAAGAGCGGAATTTTACAACCGACCTGTTAACAAGTTTCAATTTTGCATGAATGCTGTGCAAACTAATCGTAAAAACAGCCGCGCTCTTGGCACAGCTTTACTGTTATTACGCTTATTACAGTCTCTAATGTAAAATGCATGAAATCGTAAGCCAGGACTCTTCTCGAGCCCTCGAACCGAAACGAAACTCAAATTAGGCAACAAAGGCGACTTTGTTTTTGAAGCGTAATTTGCAATAAATTGCCACAAGCGGCTTTCCTTGGCCTCGGCCCTTCAGCTTCGGTTTCGGCCCACTATTTCTGGCCATCGCCGCCCATGGCAGGGCAGTAAATTTATTGATGATCTCGACCGACTGGCCGACAGTCGACTCGACTCCACTCGGCCTGTTGTTGCTGTGCCAAAGATAAGCAGCTGTAATTTGTGTTCGCCAACACCAAGGGCAACGGCCAAATCGGTGGAGGGGGGAGTGGGGAGGGGAAAAGGCAATGGCAGCATCCTCTTCATTTTGCATCGCAGAAGGACTACAACTGGGAATAGTGATGCCAAATCGTGTTAGTATAAGGCAGTCAAATCAGTAAGATTGTAGTGGAAAATAACACAAAATCTTTAAGGGGAAAAAAATAACAAAACAAATTTATATTGAAAATGTTTTGTGAGTAAAATATTCTAGAGTACAAAATATGTAATAGAAACTTAGGGATTAGTATGTACGACCAGAAAATAGCCAAGTTAGCACCTCGATCTACCCGACTCGGCCAAGACAAAGCCAAGTATATGGAGGGGTGATTTAGGAGTGCGGCAGGGCGAAATGATGTGTGCAGTAGATTGAAGACCAGCCAGCTCCCCAGAAGCAGCGGCCTCCACTTGGAGCCGATAGGGGGAGCCACTCGGCTGTCCACACAAATTGAAATAAATTACAGGAGCGGCCAGCAGGGCGGGCGTTCTGGGATCGGGCGCTCTGAATATACGCCACATGAGTGGTTATTGTAAAGTTCGCACTGCACAATTTAACCAAAAAGCCAATGACAGCTGATATTGCACCCCCGGGCTGCGAGTTCCAACTGCAACTGATGCAACTGCAGCTGCAACTGCAACTGGATCAGCCTTTGCATCCGCATCCGCATCTGCACTTGCCACTGCCCCAGCCTCGGCCTCAACATCTGTCCATGTCCTTCGACTCTCGGGGGAGTGATGGTGAAGAGGGTGAAGAGGGTGAAGAGGAGTTTGCGGGATAGCGAACTCGAGTAGGTAATTTGCATTGCACTCACCACAACCATGCTCTTGTTCTTGACCAGCATATCGAGATAACGGCAGCTCAGCATCGTCTGATTGCATCCGGTGTGCACTGGACAGAATTGTTCCATAATCATTTCCCCCGACATCTCGTGATTCGCCACAGCCACTTGGAGTCCCGTCGGATCATGGCCGATGGCGTAGCAGAAGAGCAGAATCTGCACCACTGGCAGTCCCACGATGAACAGCATCACCCTGTGGAAATGTCATCCGAAGTTTTTTTTGCAATGATTACAAGCTATAGTTATCATCATTTCTTTTTTGAGTGCATCCAGTGGCAGTGCTTTTCTAAACTCCATTACTCACCCAACGTTCCGCATCATCCACAAGAAGTTTTTCCAGATGAGAGCGTGCAGATGATGCGACTGCATCACGTGGAGGTTGTACCAAAAGGATGTGGGAGTTTCTTCGGGTGGGGGCAGCGGAGGCGCTGCGGGAGCTGTAGTGCTGATCGGATCCCTAGCAGCCGAGGACATGGAAATATTGTCTCCAAACTCCCCAGAAATCTCGGCGGCATGCTGCTCATCGGACATGTCCAAAGCGGGATTCGAGATTGCCGGCACTGTGACCTGCTCCACAATTTCCTGAGCGATCGAAGATCGTCGACGCTTTCCCATGTTCTGCAATACGGAGAGCTTCAGGAAAACATCCTCCAGCGAGTCTGCACTATACTGCTGCCTCAGATAATCCGGTGATTCCTCTGCCAGCATTTTGCCACCACGCAAAAGGCCAATCTAAAAATAGTATTGAAAATAATTATCATTCTGTGGCATTTTATAATATAGATTTTCAATGCAAGTGAAATCTATTTAAAGTCCGCAAGTCCTTTTTGTCAGTCAATTGATTCGGAGCGTGTTCTCACCAAGTGTCGTAGAGCCAATTAAACTTTTCGACTTTGATGGGACTTGCCGGAATCTTTGGAAAAGTTTGCGCCCTCTATGCACATCCTGTTCCTCTTGTTGTGGATGTCGATGAAGTTTTATCGACTCCCCATGCCCAATGCCCAATACCCAATAGCCAATGCCCGACGTAATCCCTTGTCCACGCAACGTGCGGAAATTAACTTAATTGATTTCTGTGTCCGTACATGACCAGCCGTCATCCCTTTAGCCCTTCTGCGAAAGTTTTCCGCCTGCTCCGGGATTTTCCAGCAGGAAGGCGCTGCTTGTTCATCAATTCCACACGAAATGGATGGCTTCATTAGGCATGCACATGAGTGGGCTCCTGCAGCCGATCGTCCCTACATTCCCCCCGAATTTTTCCGACTGCACAGGAAAATTCTATGCTAAATAAGCCCCACACACTCGGCTAGTTAGCAAACTTTTGCCACTTGATTTGGCTTCGTTCGCCTCCTGATTTTGGCCAAAAAGGAAATCGCCCATTTCCCCCGGAGCTTGTTGTGTTTGGCCAATTCCATGGCGACTGTCTTTTCGACTTCTCAGGGCCAATTAACGTCTTAATTGAATTGCAATGGCAAACTAAATTACGGTCTTCCTGGCGAGGCGGGCAATTGTAATTTTATTGGCCAACTATGTGATATGCATTATTATGGCCAGCAATTTTGCATGCCATAAATAATTTTCCGTTTGCCTCATGACCAGCACGCAGAGGAAATTGAAAAATGCACACGATATTTATGGCCGGGTTCGTAGGTGGCATTTACTGCGAGTGGGCGAATTCGAAATATATTCTAGAAAATATGCAGTTAGGGCCAGCTGAATAAATCTTGAGTTTCCATCTAACAATTTACATAATTTACACAGGATCTCAATTCAAAAATAAGAATCCTTGAAGCACTTTCATTAGTGTATCTTTTAAAATATAAAAAGTAATAGTAATATAAAATTGTAATAAGAACTACTTATTGAAAAAAGCTGTTTATTCTTGTTCTTTTTTATTTTATTTAAAGTTGTTATGCAATAACTCTTTGTTTAATGCTCAAAAACACGTGCAAAATCGCATTAAAGTGGCTATCGAAGTGGCTGAAACGCATCAACACTTCATCATCCAGTGGAAATTCAGTTGGTAATGTTATTTTTTCTTGGTTATTGTGTATCTCGTGTCACTCATCAGCTTTAGCAATTATTCAACTGTCCATTTGCATTCTGGCTGTATTTTTCTTGCGATGGCTGCTCAAAGGCAACATGCGGAAAATTACGCGACAAACAATAAGGATAAAAACGGAAAGCGGCAACAATACAAGAGGAAATGCAACAATATCAACTATTAAAGTGGCGCCGAGGAGGGAATTTCGGGGTTGCCAGTAAACGCTGAAGTGGAGTACTCCCAGCAATATATCCATCACATAATGTTACGCTCCCTGATTTCATTTATTAGAGCAGAAAGTGCCGCATGTACAACTGGGGACAGTTGGGGGCACCCCTGTCCGCCCCTCTGTCTTCACTCTATGGCCATGTGGCGTACACGAGACTCTCTTTTTTCGTTCTGGCTTTCCTCTTTTTGTTTTAGCTACTTTCTTTTCCCGACGCTTTTTATTTTTTGGGCGAACCAACAATTTCCCCTGAGCCAAAGGCAGAGCCAGGAGCGCTGACATTAAATTCGGGGAGCAGTGTCTGTCAAAAAAAGTGAAGCGCTGCACTTTGTTAGGAGCGGGACACTGGAAGCCATTCGGGAATCTGTTGTGTGGGCCAAGTTGGTTGACCCCGCGGTTGCCAGCTGGTGGGTGTGTGTGTAATGGAAAATGGGTGGTTCTATTGCTAAAACTAACACGAGAGCGGGCGTTGATGCTTTTCATAATGTGGTGCCTGCTTTGATATGGGTCACATTGTCATCCTAGGTGCCATAATTTTGCACAAAAGAAAAACCATGGAAACTGCCCAGAAAGTCTGCTTTTATTTCAAGTGAACTAGTATTTAAACAAAATAATTTTATCCATTTTATCAGCTATTTTTAGTGAATTTTATTTTACTAAATTTTCCAAGTTCAAAGCAACTAAAGTTAGCCCTAGGATACAAGCTATGATAAAAGTGACCTGTTGTTATTTTAAAACAATGTATGCATACATACATATATATATATACATATCCATACAATGTATATACGTTTTTATAATGTATTAAAAATAACAATGTAAAGTTATTATGGCCACAAAAAATGGTTTAAAAAACAAACAGCATTAAAGAACACAGTTGCATTTACCACAGCGAATAAATCCCTTTGTGGCCCACATTCCTTGGTTTGTGATGGCAATTCAATCTGCCAACAAAATAATAGTATCTCACAGTTTAATACTACACATTTTTGCAGTAAATAAGCCTTTATTTAAGACCTTAATATTCGCACATTAAGCATTGGTAATCGCATCACCATTTCAGCTCTATTGTGAAGACGATGCCGTAGACACGGCAGATGCTGATTGTTATGAACGAGTAAAGAGCACTTTTAATCACACACCGGCAAACACGTACAAATTTTTAATGTCCATAAATATTTTTCAATTAAAATAAAACTTTTAATCGCAGCACCATACAAATAACAATAACCGAATTTAAGCACGGTAAAGTTTTAACAACACTCCGGGATGCAGAGTCGTAAATGCATTTTACGATTATGTTTAATGCCACTGCTTTTGTCTGAGTGCATCCTCCTCATCCTCGCAGCGGTGGAATCGGAAAAACTAATAGCTGTTTTTGCCGCTATGCAGCATATATTTTTTATGGCAGCATGAATTTTCAGCTTATAAATTGCCAGCAGGCAATAATCACTTTAATGCCCCGCTTTTGAGGTGGGACGGGGAATAGATCAAGTGCTGTGTAGGTGCCATTCGAAGTGCTTTACTCAATCAGGCTCCATGGCAGTTAAATTTATGTGTCTGTCTGTCGGTCTGTGCTGCGCTGAACTCTACTTAAGCAGATATTGGCCGAGGGAATTCCATTTCGGACACGCAGTTCTGTTGACTCAACATAAAAAATCAAGCCAAAAACAGGGAGTACAAGAAAAAACAGAATACACAAGGAACTCGAAGCGGAAAAACTCCACAGTGAACTCCTCGTGACGTGCGGAATTGGCGAAAAATATGTGCAGATAACTACCTTGGGCCAGACCAACTGAAGTTTCGCCCTCTTCTGGCCCAGACTCAACTTGAGCTGGTCGAAACCAAAGCGTGCCACGAAAAAGTGACAAAGCTGAAAAAGCAATTTGCTGCTGGCCATAATACACGTGCACCGAAAAGAAATCAATGAAAATTGTATATGTTTTTTAAGCCAATAAAGATCTGTGGCAAAATGAATGTATGTCTAAATTTAAGTTTAGTTTTCAGTCATTTCTGGCAATTAAATAATATGTTGGAAATCTTTTGATAACATCCTTATATTTTCCAAAATACCCGTTTTCTTATATATTTGAGATATTTATTGTTCTAAACTAAAAGCTTTTATTAATTTTTTGGATTGTTTTTAACATTTTGTTCAGTGTACTCTAAGCCAGCTGAGGCGTACACAATCTAAGCTGAGACCCGCTTGCCGTTCCAGGCAAGCTCAGCTGCCAGGCCAACACGTGTTCAATATGAGCAATTAAACACTGTCACCAGAAGTTACACAGTCACAACAACTTCTCATTCTGCTTGGCCTGGATATTGTCCCTTGGGCTTTGCATATAAGGACATAGCTTTCAGCATAGGAGATGGGAACTTCTTCCGCAAGTTGGCTTTTTATAGAACCCATAAACCATAAATTTGGTCTAACAATTCGCATTAAATTCACATTTCGCCGCCTGACGCTCGGATTAACTTGGCCTGGATGCTTCGGTTCCGATCCCATTGCCTTGTTTTATGGACTGCGACCGCGGCTCAGGCGATTGTTTTTTCTTGACACCCAATCGCAATGCCAGGGCCATTCCCAAGTGCCAAGTGCTGAATGTCGATTGCCCGCAAACAAAGGCGGGCTCTCTATTCCTGCCAGTGATTTTGTTTATTGGCCATAACTCTTTACCGCAATGACTTTTGGCGGCGTGGCAGCGTGACAACGGATTCCCATCCGGCGGATCACGTAAGGTGGCATGGCTTCCAAAAGGGTTGGGCGGGGGTGTTGAAAACGTGTTGTCAATTGGCAGCCGCACTGTATGTGAGCCACTTAACACCCCGAGAGTCCTTTGGGGGTCAAGTGGGGTTAGGGGGCTCAGGACACACAGCTCGTTGATTGTTTCTGTATTGCGGGACTCAGTCCCGAAAGGCTTTCATATGAATTATGCATAAATAAAAGCACTTAAAGAGCTTATAAATTTATTTCGTATTTAATGTTGTCTATTCATAAATATTCCCTAAAAAAAAGTAACGTGAATTCATAATTGCTGGTATTCAATCAATCATATTTAACGGTGGGGGAATATTTTGAAAGTAAAAATCTTCTCTATTTTATTCTCTTTTTTTTAGCGGTCAGTGGCGTTTAATAGGATTTCGAAACAATATTTAGAAAAATATAAATGTTGAAGAGTGTCTCTCGCTTGACTGATTAATATTGTAAAATATTTTGCAGCAATAAATACGAGTAAAAGTCAGCCATTCTGGTGAATATTTTCTGGCACCCTATCAATCACGTTAAACGGGCTTCCTTGTAGAGTGTCTCAAGTGTCGATCTCCGGCCCAATTCACACTTTCTTCGTCGCTCCCCACATCAATCTTTTTCAGAGTGTTGTCATTGATATATTCAACCACCTCACACCCACTTGAGATTGCGTGTGTGTCCCCGGCCAAGAATTCTGTTTGTTTTATGTGTGCATATCCTGTGCGTGTTGCCAAGTATCTGAATCTCAGCCTGTCGCTTCGGCCGTGTATCTATCTGTCTATCCAACTGTCCATTGTGATGGGCGTTTGTTTGCGAGCTTTGTCACGATTTATTCTTGTATTTTTTCCACACCCTCCAGAAAACCAGAACGCCAGAGTTCATTGTTTGCTGCACGCATTAAATGACTAGCGCAGTTATATTTCCCTACACAGATCTCATCTGTTTCGCTGGCGGCATAAATAAATCTGGAGTAAATTTTGCAATGTGTCTCGCTCGGAAATGCCTCGTAAATCGTGCCATGGCCATGGGTCAACGGCGGAGACAGCCGCCAGTAATATTCTACTCCCCGGCTTTCCTCTTTCGGCCATTCATTTTTTCCACCCGCCTTTGGACAGGACACGGATTTGTTGCAGCTCGCGCAGGATACAAATTTGCCAAGGGGCAGGCGGAAGCACTTAGCGCCGCATGTTGACAGCGCTCGGCGTAGCTGATAGCTGAACTTTCACCTTGGCAGTGGCAGCATAATATGGCTCATACGCCGCATATTACACATGGATGTGCCGGCTGGCCATAAATCACCGGGACGAACAATGCGTGGGCGCCAAGAGCCATTGACACTTGTCTCCCGTCTCCCATCCCCCCACCCCCAAAACCCGTAAACGAACAACCAAGCAACCCTCTTATCAGTTTTCCGGAAATCTTCCGGCTGCTTACCATATGCGCCTGGGCACACTCGTCGATGTAATGCGTGGTGATTATCACAGTCGTGTGACCATTCTTCGTAATGTCCACCAAATGATCCCAGATGCTGTAATCAACGAGATGAAGAGTTAATCGGTGGTCATACACAACTTATTTCGAAACTATTATTCAATAAGAGATAACATATGGAAGTATATAAATATATATAAAATTATTTCCTCCATAAAATATTTTATTGAGGTTAAGGACTCACCTTTGTCTCAAAACGGGATCCACGCCCACCGTGGGTTCATCCAGGATAAGCAGCTCCGGTTCGTGGAGCAGGGCAACAGCCAGACTAACTCGACGCTGTTGACCGCCACTCAGATTCTTGACAAATTTGGAGGCATTTGGCAAATTGAGCAGTTTGAGCAGAAACTCGGTGCGATCCTCGATGTCGCCTTTGTTCATGGCCGAAATGATGCCAAAGTAAATTAGGGTCTCACGCATCGTGAACTCGCCATAAAGGGCTATTTCCTGCAATAAACGCAGAGTGGAACACGGATATTATACATATTCTCTGGCGCAATACGCTGTCCGCCCAATTTCCACTAAAAATCCTCCCCACTTTCCGGCTTTACTGGTTTATGAGCCCATTGTGAACAGCCGAGATCCGTGGAAGATGGCACTTTGGGTTTTTGACGGACAAAAATACCGACTTACTGCCCAACATAAAACATTTAATTACGTAGTAGTGCGGTAGTGAAATTAAAATGATGCGAACATTTAAAAAAGTAAATTTGAATTTATATACTATTTCATTTCTACTAAGTTTTTGTGCCAAGCTCTCAAAAATCACATTTTAAAATTAAACAAAATTTCGTGTGGTGAAACACAACTATTAAAAGAATGAGGTTTTTGTTTATTTTCTTTTTAATTCAAATTAAAAACTGGCACCTCTGGTTGGAAAGACAAAACGAAATGCAGTGGAGTTGAGTTATTCTTATGGATTGCGAAAATTAAAAGTTTTCTTTCGTCTTTCGTCTCTCTGCGAATGGCGCATTTAAAACTTTGCTCGGTGCATGTTTTCTTTTGTGCTTTCAGCGTTTTATTGCGTTTATTTAATTTAGTCGCCTCTGGCTGGGGTAATAAAAAGCGCATGAAAAATTCAGGAGTAGCATTCGGCAGTCGGATGGTAAATTGAAGACGGGGCAGGAGGCGGACTTACGGACGAGGTCAACTCACCTGTGGCATATAGCCGATCCGAGGACCTGGCACACCGGAACCACGCGATCCAGGTCGTCCGCCGAGCACCCAAATCTCACCAGAATTGAGGCGACGTCGTCCGACGATGCAGCTGAGCAGCGTCGTTTTGCCACATCCCGAGGCGCCCAGGAGACCGTATCTGCAATTGCACACGGTTAGTTGAGTTTAAAGTCCTTTTTATAATGAGATACGTATGCGCGCGAGTGCGTTGCGCCATGCAGATACTTTTCAGCAGGTGCGGTTCACTCGTAACCAGCGCCCCAATTAATATTTAACTTAAATATGGGATTATAATAATATTGAACTTATAAGTCAGTTGAATATAAATGTGTATATTATAAAACAAACGAAATGCTGGCCCTCTCACTATACTCCTTCAAACCAAAAATCTGTCGAATTTCTCTGGTCAAATTCCTTTGGGTAGCCAAGTAGAATAATTACAAGTAAATCTGTAAAGTCCGGGAGGGGTTTCACTTTTTTCCTATCGGAAAAATTCAACTGCCCAGGTAAATGCATTTAAGTCGGGCCCAAAAGAAGGCCTGAACTCTGCTGGCCAGATAGTCGGACATTTTGGGGCGAGGAGTAGTCGTCTGTGTGCATGCCGCTCAAATATTTTAAGCACTCACACAAAGACTCGGCGGCAGGTGCACTCACCCACACACTCAGCAATATACACACACACTTACACACACTGAGACACACACTTGCAGAGGCAGAGGCATAAGGACGAAAAGCATCAGGTGAAAAATCAACTGTGAATAGTTTTGCAAAAATATTCAGGCGCAAAAAGTTTCATTGCTCGGTGCGCTGTGTTTTCTGAGCGCTCTCTTAGTGCCCGAAAGCCCCCACTTGCCAGAGTTTTCCATTCGCTTTTCCCCGCTCTTTTCCACCCCATTTTCCAGTCCTCTCATCCAGCCCACTTACCACCTACACTATCTTCATATCCATGTTCAGGTTCAGGTCGGTGTGGTATGTGCGCCGCTTATCTCGTGTGTGGAGGAGCTGTTGCAAAATATATTTAGGGAATGTTTAGCACAGCTTAGCGCGCCAGTCAGCCTCCGCCCGCCGCCCACCACCCTCTCCTCCCCCATAGCAACCATCCCCAAGTTGGCGTATTTTTTTATTACGTGCGCAGCGCGCGAGTTTAGAAAATTGTTGGTCTGGCAGTTGGCAGTTAGATGGCGCAGGGGTCAAGGGTGGAACGGTACGGGGGTCGCGGTTTGAGGTCGGTTAAGGCGGGGAGTGCAGGTGTGCTGGTGTGTGTTTAGCCATGAATAACATGCAGGTCGATTGCAGGCGGGGGAAAAAGACCCACACTTGTACAAGCCAAAGCAAAAGCCAAAGGGGTAAATAAAAGCACAGCTCGGCTCGGTCCAGCTTAAGGACACCCGAGTTGGCCAAAAGGGGATGGCCAGGGCCAAGCTGGGGAAGGGAAAAAACAAGCATCGGGTAGGACAATAGCGCCAGATATGATTAAACTCCTGACTAAACTGAAGAGCTCAGATAAAACTAACTAAAAGTGGATAATTTGTTGGCTTTAATTGAGTGCTCCAACTTAGATGAACTTTGGTTAGATTGGCTTTGTAAATTAAAGCGTAAGTATGCAGAGCACAAAACATCGAATTTTTTAGTTATTTTATAAAGGAATTTATTTGAAATTACCTTTCTAAACTATTTGAACATTTGTGCTTGAATGATAGAGGTGATGACAGTTTTATTTTGAATATTCAAAAAGCTCTTTGATTTGCTTATGCTGAATGGATATTTCCCCTGTGTTTTGCTGCATTAACGAGCAAAGGTGACGCGATTCCATCGCCCTGAGGCCAATTCAATATTCCCGCCCAGCTTTATTCCCGTTTCCTGTGGCGAATTCCGCTCCTTCGACTGGCATTTGCATGCAATTGCCTTTTTGCATATCGCATTGCATAAATCCAATGCCATAAAGCGTTAAATGGGCGAGTGTCGTGTTAGAAGAGGTCGCCGCCGTAAAGTTCTGCAGGAACGCTAAAGCAGACGCGGAAAAACATTCCTAGCCACAAATTACCAACATTTACCTGCGGTGCGCGCATATTTTAGCCCCTTAGTAAGCCCTGTTTTTGTCCACCTTCGTTTTGGTTTTTGCCCGCAGGAAAACAATGCAAACAATAAGCAGCGATGCAGACGTCGACGTTGACGATCCAAGTTTATGTTGATATTTCAACCCATTAACCTTTTTTTCTTTTTCTTTTTTAGCTGCGACGGCATTTAGTCTGAGCTTGATGCATTCCGCAACTCATTTCTGGATGGCCGTGATTGATGATTTGTATGTACCCCGTAGGTTTGTGTGTGCAAATAGGTCGCTCGGAATGCATTCCGCTGGGAATGAATTATGCGCTAATTAATTGCCAGCTGCCGTTCGCAAGTCGCGTGATTTGCAAGGATCATTAAGTCCGTATTTCAATTTTAAAATGACTTTTCCGCGCTTCTCAGCTGACGAGTTTAACTATGAGTCACAGCTCAATTAGGTGCAATGTAGGCCCATTCGGTTAAGGTGATACGAGAACAGGATGTAGAAAAAACTCATTTCATCACCTTTAAAGTGAAATTGTTTGCCATGACACATTGACGAGTGCAGCAGGGAAATCAGGGGAGAAACTGAGTTGGTAAGAGGCCGCTGAAACTTTGCACTTGACTTCAACAATTAGTTTGTGTCGTCTCCCCTCCGATCCACCAGAATTTACCCCATTTTTCACCTTCTGCTCCCCGATTTCATTAGTAGGTGTAGTTGTTGCTTAGCAGCGCGTCACAGGCAATTACAGGGGCGGTAATGCGTATTTAATTAACAAGCTTACTTAGTAGTTTTCCATGGAAAATTTAGCTCATTGTTCGGCAGAAGGCGACCAACTCGCAGTGTCGGGGGAGCGAACTAACTGACATTTAGACTCTCAACGAGTCAGTACCGCTCCCTGCTGCCTATTTGCCTGTCCAATTAAACGGCAAACTTTTCTTATGGCCATTCAATTCCCACACCGAGATCCGAGCTACTCACTTATTTGGTAGCTCCTCTGCGGAGGATGCTTGTAATCGAAAGTTTCGGTACTCGGAATGGAAGTATAAGCCATGAGTGAATGAGGGATCTTTTGTGTGTTTATGGACTCGATGCTAATTGAATTGTCATCGATTAATAGAACCTCGCCAAAGAGTCCTGAAATGTGCAAAAGCAATAACTTCCAGCCGCCTGCAGGAAAGTTAGATGCTTCAGAAAACAGGAGTCGGTTGTACACAGCGAATAATATTCTATACATACGAGTATAATATTTCATCTTTTAGGTACATTTTTTGTGATCGCCTTTTGTAAGCAGCCTTTGACTCATATTTCAATTGATTGTAAATAAATACACCAAACACTGGAATAATTATTTTCTCCACAAATTTCGTGTGTTGTTCAACAGTCGATGATAGGACCAAAAAATGGGTGGTTTTTTGGAAAAACCGGAAACGGAAAAGAAAGTTGAGCAGGGTTCCGGGAATGGACTTCGGTATTGCTTGAGTTCAATGCAAGGTTGGCGATTGGAAATGGAAGATGCCCACTCAGCTGTTTGTAGCCTGATGGAGCCTTTTAAAGACTGGGCGTACTTCGGAGTTTTTGATGGTCATGCAAGTAATCAAGTATCCGAGTTCTGTGTCGAGCATCTTTTGAATACCATAACGCACTCCAAAGAGTTTTCGATGTTGAGATTCCCGGAGGGAATAAAAGAAGGTTTCCTGCAGTTGGATGAGGACTTGAGAAAGGTGAATAACGATAAGCCCGGCGGGTCCACGGCAACCTGTGCTTTCATATCGCCAGACAAGATCTACTTGGCTAACTGTGGCGATTCGAGGGCTGTAATATCGCGCGGTGGAGCAACATATATTAGCACCATCGATCACAAGCCCTTTTCCAACATCGAAAGGGATCGCATTCAGAAAGCCGGGGGAAGTGTGATGATTAAACGAGTGAATGGCACCTTGGCAGTTTCCCGTGCACTGGGCGACTTCGACTTCAAGAGAGATCAGTCCCGGTCGCAAGTTGATCAGATGGTATCTCCCGAACCAGATGTTACAGTCTGCGATCGCTTGGAGTCCGATGAGTTCATAATAATTGCCTGCGATGGCATTTGGGACGTGATGAGTAGCTCCGAAGTCTCTGAGTTTATAGGATCGCGGCTTTTGGTCACCAAAGACATTCCGATGATTGTCAACAGCGTTATGGATATTTGCCTCCACAGAGGCAGCAGGGATAATATGACTCTTCTACTCATTCTTTTACCAGGTGCACCCACCCTCGATGAGGATGCCATCAAGGCTGATCGAAATCTTGATAAGACTATTGCCCAAATTACAAGGGAGGTCATTGAGAAGCACGAGATTAACGACTTTGAAGTTCTTATGCGACTTATGAAGAGAATGGCAATCAACATACCGAATTTGCCCCCAGGCGGTGGTATTTATGCCAAATATTATATTATTGAGCAAGTTTTCCATGAGATATTTCCTGACGCCCCAGCTGAGATTTATGATTTTTGTAATGTGTAGACTTTGTTTTCTATACTTATGTTTACCTTAAAAATAGTTAAAAACAGCCAGTGATAAAAACTTTTAGGAATTTATTAACTTAGGAGAACAATGGGTATCGTTCTCAGTGTATTTTTTTTTTTCATTAGCTCATTCACCGGCACTCATTCCACTCTGTTGGATCAAAGAAGTGTGTGCACTATTGAGCAGCAGCTGTGCGTTATGGCCATCCGATTGCCGACTTGTGCTTCGTCAAAAACAATGGCGCCACATGCCGTATGCTTGATTTTTTCAATTAGATACAGACGCACGCATTACGCATACGCAATGCCTGCGGACCATAGAACAATCAAACTCATAAAACTCAGACTCGGACAAAGTATCAGGTTCCGAGTCGGGGAAAAGGTCCGTCTGCCTGGTAATAATTAAAATTTGCCTCCCGCAAACGATAAGCCCCAAAGACCGAGTGAAGGAGTGGCACCAGGGGGCCAAAATGAAAAGTTATGAACTGTAGTCCACTCCCGTCCATTCGAGTCCAGTTCAGTCCACTCCACAAAATCTACACCCATGTACAGTACGTGCCACAACACAACACAACAGAACACAGCACAACACTTGACCAAAGCAGTTGCAACAGTCATAACAATGACTGCTACTCCACTGCTTTCTGCCCCCGAACAGCAGCTGTCCATTTTAATTTTCCAGCTTGGGTAAATAATTTAAACAATTCCATGTCCAGTCCGACAGGAATAAGGCACAAAGAAGTGCCGAGCGGAAGAGGAAAGTGCTCGGTTATTATTTGTTACCTCGACTCCCGTTTAGACTTGGCCTATAACTTGCGGTTGCCCAGTCAGCATTTGTTTAGATTTCTTTGTTTCTTTCTGTTTCTGTTTCTCTTTTTTTTTCTGTTTCGTCTTCTAACCAAATATTTTCGCAAGTCAAGTGGGTACGATTTGTGGAAGAACACTCTAAAAAAAGAGCTAACCAAAGAAGTTTCTTTGATTTACCGAATGGGTTCGTGTGCTTCATATTCATTTATTTATTTAGTGTTCTTGAGGTATTTTAAGTTGAATGGTTACACGAATTTTCCCTTAACTTCTACGATGGACATATATTTTTCGAGTGTAGTGTGCGGGTGCGCTGGCTTGGGAAAACAAATGCAAACAATAACATGTGGCCCTTCCTCCGGTCGTCCTGCATCCTGGTCCTTCGGTTTGCTATCTGGTTTTGAGAAAACCTTTCACCCTGGTTGGATGCACTCATGTCCAGCTTGTTTGTTTACTTTGTCTGGCAGCGTGTCTGTTGCATATCAGTGACCAGCATATCGTTATTTTCCTATAATTTAGACAATTTTCATCAGGCTCCATCCTCGCAGGCTCTCGCATATTAGAACAGTTTGTCTTTCGTTTTCGTTTTCGTTTTAGGCACTGGCTTTTGGCATTTTAATCAACTTTTCTTGGTTGCAGCACAATTGCTTATTAAATGCCGAAATCAGAGAGAGAGAGAGTGAGTTCGTTCTAACTTCCGACTGTCTGGCCATTTGGCTTATGGAAGTTTGGCCAAATATTTGACTTCGGTTCGGGCCGCTCGACAACATTTGCAACATTTCTATTTGCTTCGTTAACCGCACACGAAAAAAGTGGTCGCACTGCGACTGAATGTTTGCGAAAACTTTGTTTGCCGCCCGTCGCTGGCCATAATGCTAAACTTTCTTGCGCTCAAATCCATTTTTTTCTGTTGGCCGGACTCTTTTATTTCGTTCCTTTTGTCAAATGCAGACCAAACCAATTACAAAATCCACACAGCCAGGGAAGCAACCGAACTGGGCCAACGGAGGGGAGAGCAAAGTTTGGCTTGCAAACAATTGCAATTTATTAAGCCAAGAGCCAAGCAAAGCGCAAACAATGTCCGTGTCCATGTGGCCAGCATAATTAAAAGTAAGTTCAATGCGCTGCTCCAGACTACGGACAGAATCTCGACCAGAGATGAGCGTTTGTGCCGAGCGAAGAAATTCCAAATATTTGCAATTTAATTTGCATTCAAACACAATTGTTGCGAAAGATAATACAGTTTGGGAAATAATTAGATTTAATTCGGTTTGCCGTAGAGATAAGGAACGACTTATAATTGAATTGCGGTTGGCTACAAGAAGTGGAAGCTGCTAAGAAAAGCTTAAAAATCTTAAAGAGTTTGCTAAAGATACAATGAAAGATAAAACATAACATTCTAGGAAAGTAGCAATAAATTTAAGTGGCATTAACATCCGATAGTCAGTTAAATACAAAGTTGAAGTTTGGAAAAACGGTATTGCCTTTTTTTTCTCCGTGTTTCGTTAGTGTTTCACCCCGTCTTGAACTTTGACCCGCCTGCATCACTCATACGCCGTGGTGTACGAACTTATTATGCATCGCAGCTCTTGCAAGTTGTAATTATGTTGCAATAAGTTGGCCCGGCTTCGAAGTCCGAGTGTTTTTAATGCGCTGGTTACAAATATGTGATCGGGTACTTCAATTGTTTTGGCCTCAAGAGGAGCAGATGCAGAAGTGCCAAACAATGGAGCCACTGATTAGTTGTGAATTTACTGCTGATTAAGATGCTTTTTAAAAGAATTCAGCGCTCACCCTGGTCGAGTGAACTTTTCCGCCAACTTTTCTCGCTTTTCCGTGTATCTGTCTGTATCAGTGAGCTTTGCGCTCGTGTGTCCGCTAACTTTCTGTTGAATTGGCAGTTTATGAAAAATTCAAGGACAGACGTTAATTTAGTGCTACTTCAGTGGGTAAGTTCATATAAATTACTCGAAAAACATACGTAAGTCAACCGGAAGGAACCAACACGCTTAAAAGTCAGCAGTAAAGATGAGCAAACAAATCAAAAATGCTGAATTGCGTTTTTTCAATCCCAATTGGCTTTATTAAGAGCTTTATACCATATAATATATACTTACAATGAATAGAAAAAGTTACCGCTGTTTGATTGTATGTACAAAGTTTTAATATTCGCTTAACACATTTTGCAGATTGGATTTAAATGTACATTACAAAAGGCCTGCATAACAATGAATTCTTTTTTCACCCCAATATGTGAAATTTAAATTTATGAGAGTTTATTTATATTTTCCCAATTGACTGAAATTTAATTTATTATCTAATAAAATGCGCGTTGTGTAGTCTACCTCTAAACATATTTAAATGGAACTTTATTGTTTAATCTAGTCTGCCGTTTTCAAAATTTAATCAGTTCAACACACTTAATTACAGAAACGGTTTTTTGCCTTCTTTGAGAGTACAAATATTTTCCAATTTTATTGTACAAAACAAAATCACGGTGAAGGGCTTTTGTTTGGCCATTTGTTTACAGGCCAAATGAAATCATGACAATGTAGCGCGAATCAACAAAATCAGCTAGGAGACAAATTGCCGCGAACACGCTCCAAACATCGGTTGTATCTATATACATATGCCAATTACTGTTTTTTTGACGTCGTAAGCCTCGATTTGCTGCCGCTCTATTGACAACCTAAACGGATCCGAGCTGAGTCCGGATGGGTATTTATTTAAATTTATCGCATTGAGCTGTGCGTGCGGATGCGAAACCAATTGGAAAATTCTCATGCAATTTGGCGGCGTAGATGCCATGTAATTAACAATTTAGCGATTGCAATGGCAGCCATTTTGTCAGGGGTGCATAACAATGAGCGAATAAAATGCATTCGCTAAATAATGCAAATTCAGTTTTGACGCACATAATTCCATTTTAATGGAAATTTTCTACTTAGCAATGGCGTTGTTTTTGCGGTTAGCCTGAGGCGATGCAGCAAATAAATAAAGGTGCTGGCCAACGTAATTTAATTGCTTATTTTGCCATTATGGCCATGCGGGCTTCTGTGCTCTTGCGTTTATGCAATATTTCTGGCGGAAGTTGCCCATACGCCGTGTTGCAAGGAAGGTCAACCGAAAAAAGCGCCGCCAGTTATGCGCCGCAAAAGGGGAGACGAATTCAAATGGTAAAAATAAAAGGGGCACATCCACAGGATCCCAAGAAGAGGCAGCTAGTTAAAGTTCCAACCTGCCGTCTGTCCGGATCCCCTGCATTGTTTTATTTTCCCAGCTATTACACTTTAAATATTCTACCCCGATTCGCGGTAAATTTGGGTCCCTTAATCCTTTGCCTGTAAGCCGCATCCTATCGAGGACATAAAATATTGCACAAACCGATTTATAGTTTGAAGGGGAAGCATACACACAAATCAGGGAGGAAACTGGTTGAGTGTAAAAGATTTTAAATAAAGGATTTGGAGGGTTGTTTTATAATTAAAACAGGGAAAATTAATTTATAAAACCCCTTTTAATATTAATCGATTTTGGATTCATGATCTCTTTAACCCGTACAGTGTAAATTTGTGGGGACCGCTTAACTTATTAAATGCGCACACTCCGTTTTAATTACTCACACACATAACGGCGTGTGCACGTGTGAGTTGCTAATTGCGGGTCCACACACGCACACACACATGCACATGCCAGCCGAGCACAATTTTAATGCGCACTTCCGTTTCCGCTGTAATGCCTGCGGCATAGTTTATTTTTATAACCCGCAACACGGGGCTGCCACTACCGCCTTCTTTTGCGGTGCGTAATTGTTAATTTTCAACAGAAACTGAATGACTGACTGCTTGACTGCCTGAAGAACTGAAAAAATGAGGGAGTGAATGACTGACTGATGGGTGGCTGCATCGGCTGCGCAAGAAAGCAAGCCTGACGTTTTGATATTGCTGTGCACAGCAAATTACCAGCGTTTTAAGTGCGTGGCCGCAAAGAGGAAAGGCGTTAACACGGATCAACATTGACAGGTCCAGACGATTTCGAATGCAACACGGAAAAAAAACATAACTTCATAAGAACGCATCAAATTATTAATTACTAAAGTGATAAAAAATAACTAAAGTTAAACATCCTTTAAGCCAATTTTCAAAGAAAAGTCAACTTAAAACAGAATACAATTATAAGCTATCCAAAAGCTGGGGAAATTTATTCACAGTGCACTTGAATGATCTGGTAAAAAGGCCGGGGTGTGCGGAAAGCCAAGAATGAAGCGC